GTTTGATTTCAAATTATTTAAGTCTTAAAAAGTTTCATATTTTACCAAAATATTTAGTATTGAAATTAATCCTAAAATTATCCCTAATAGTTTGGTAGCAATTTAAGATAATTTTTTCACCTCAAGAGTATTCATGGAGACTAGTGTCTCACTCTGAAGAGGTTTTGTCATCAGTTTTATTAATATATTTTATTCAAAAAAATTAGTAAAGTCCTCCAGTAGTTTGGTAGGATTTACTTTGAAGTAGATCTCCTAATAGTTTAGTGATATTTTATTTAAAAATATTTATAAAAATTTTATTCTTTTAAAAAAGTTCATTAAATCTTCCAATAGTTCATTAAGACTTAATTTAGGAAGCAATCCTCTAATAATTTGGTAAGATAAAATTATTTTTTTATTTTTTAAAATTTTTTATTAAATTTTTTAATAGTTTGCTGGATTCCATAAAATTTAAATTCATAAAAAATTTTCAATAGTTTGGTAGGATTTATAAATTTTTTTGAAAAGATTTTTTTAATGTTTTTAGAAAAATAATTTTAATACAATATTCAGTAAATAATAAATTACTCAATAAAAATAAATAAATAATAAAAACTTGTAAAATAAAATAACAAAAAATTCAAAATATAAAAATTCAAAAATATAAAATAGATAAAAACTAAAATAAAAAATTAAAATTAAAATAAAAAAAAGGAAAACCTGCGATTGGGTTGGGTTGAACAACGGGTGGCGCACGGATCCTATTCATTTTACATGCGGATCTGGGCATTCAGAAACAACGTCATGTAGGGATGATATAAAAGCAAAGTCCTTTACTCTTTTTTCAAAAACCCTAGTCTCCTCTCTCTCTAGCTTCAGACGTTTTGCCTTTTTCTCTAAAAGACGCAAAAAATTCAATCAGAAACTAAAAACCCCAACGGTTTCTAAAAAATCTCCCTAGAATCCCATCAAAAAATTCAAAGTCTATTCGAAAAGTCATTGAAAAATTCAACATTCAACTTAAAAAACCCATTTTTTCCAAATATTTTCAAAAAATCCTAGATTTTTCCATAAATTTAAGCTTTAATCCAGAAATCCAAAATCTTAATCCCAACACTCCTTAGTAGAAATAAGAAATCCAAACCCCTCACAATTACCAGAACCTCGAATCCTAAACTTCCAACACCAACATCTCAAAAACAGACCACCAAAAGATTTTTTAAAATTTTAACACAGCTTTTTCTCTCAAAAATTAACCGTGTCCTATTGAAATGAACATTGTCTAATTTATAGGCACTCCCCAATAGGAATTTTAGGGATGCGATAGAACCAATTCAGGCTTGAATCCTGAAAATTGGATTTTATCCACCGTGATATTTGGGATAAGTCTGATCGTCTGTCTGATTAATTTGATTCCATATTAAAAGTCCCCTTATTATGCAAATCGATTGACCCCTTGGTTTTAGTCAACCCCAAATTTAGTTTCCTTGTTCAAACCCCAACCAAAAGAAAAGGAAAGAAAATGAAATAATAATAATAATAATAATAATAATAATAATAATAATAATATATTTATAAGTTTTCTTTTTCTTTTTTTTCTTCTTTGTATTTTATACTTTTGAATTTTATTTTTTATTATAATAATACAACAAAAAATCAATAGTCTTATGATCTATTTGTAAAATGTTACACTTTTAATTTAAGTGATCATAGTTCAAACTTATATAAAAATCAAAGAGATTCATTTGATTAATAAAAAATTAAATATATTTTGTGCTTTAAAATTATATTAAAATTCGTTCTATGATTATCACTTTAAACAACACTTATAACTGCTTGTTAATATTACTTCGGAAACAGATATAGCTTATCATTTACGAATTTATAGCAGATTGATTTTTTTTTATAGAACGGAAAAAATGTTATAATTTAGCCCCCAACTTTTCCTGCAAACATTTCTTTATTACTCTTGATAAATATCTTCACAATGAACCTGTCTGCAGGAAGTCAAGAAAGATGAAAGATAGATCCCTGCAGCCTTCTGATCATACCTGTTAATAACTTAACATCTTATTGCCATATAAATAAAAAAAAGTTAAAAGTGAAATCTATGTAGTGGAAAGTAGGCATTGTCCAATTTGGCTATCTTGTTTTAATGTAAATCTGGCTATAGTATGTTAATATGGACCCTTAACCATTAATAGAACCACGGGCAATAGGTAAATTTTTTTTTTTTTTATATAAAAGTCACAATCTAATAAGATTGAAGTTAATTGTAGATATTGAAATTTGAATTCTAAACTTATTGGATGTTCATTCTTAAAGATAACTGTATGAACCAATTAAATTAAAATTCAAATTTTATCTAATGCTTTTAACCCAACAGGCAAATTAGATATCTTTGGCCACAAAAATTATAAAAGAATGCAATTTGAACATTGAGATTGAGTTGGTATTTCTCTTGAATTAACCTCACTCTTTCCCTTCCATCCTTCAATTTCTCAGTCCTTCAACAATGGCTACAATAGATCATCAAAAAAAGCTTGCCCCATTCGATTACAATCCAACACCCCAAGAGCCTGGCATTAGTTTGGTTTGCAAATCATTTCAAAAATACTACCCTCCTGATTTTCCAAGAAAGGTAAAAACAGTTTTGCATGTATCTCAACTTCCGACCCTGTCAAAACAACATCTTAAATAAAACTATAGCTTTTCCTTTTGTATAAACAACATTAATTGTCTGATAAAATTTTATATGTACATATGTTACATGTGTTTGGAGAGATCATAGCAACCTACTTGCTAGTGTTTGTGACATGTGGATCAGCTGCCATTAGTTCCACTGATGAAAACAAAATCTCAAGGCTTGGAGCTTCAATTGCTGGTGGGCTTATTGTCACTGTAATGATCTATGCAGTTGGCCATATCTCTGGTGCACACATGAACCCAGCTGTTACTCTAGCATTTGCATCTGTCAGACATTTTCCATGGAAACAGGTACATTATTTTCCTTTTAGTTCTTGAAATCACTACTTTGTTATACCGGGCGATTTATGTATTTCTATTATGTGAAATATTAAAATTCATGTATTCATACTATGTTTTATATGAAAATTGTGTGTCATAATTTGTATCGATATAAAAATATAAAATATAATTTTTTATTTTTTTAAACCTATATATAGTTATTGCTGCAATTTTAAACCCAGTCATCCTTGTATTTTCGTATTATATTCGTATCATGTCATTGTGTCGTATTTTAGATTATCAGATCTAGTTTTTGCTTAGGAAACAATAAAAATAAATAATTAGACAAAAAAAATAGCAGAATCTGATCCAATGATCTTGATTTTCAAATTTTTTCTATTATTTTCTTTGTTGATGATTTCTTATTTTTTTGGCAAAGGTTCACTACTAGAAAATTGACTTTTATCAATGAAATTTTTTGTCAATAATAGAATGTTTTTCGTTGATAACAACATTACTAATAAAATTTACCAACGAAAATTTTTATAAGTGATAGATAAGTCAATAAAATGTTGCTAGGTTTCACTCATAGCAAATTGGATTAACATGATGCCATTGCAAATAGAGAAGTGGGGTTGAGCCTAGGTTTCAATTTTTGAATCATTGGAACCATTTTAGCTTTGATGTTGAAATAAATTTTTACGTTCAAAAATTTATTTCAACATCAAAGCTAAAATGATTCCAATGATTCAAAAATTGAAACCTAGGCCCCACTTCTCTATGTTCAAAAATTTATTTTAATTTAAACACAATATTAAAAATAAAAAATAGTTTTTCAGTTTAAAAGTTTAATTTTTCAACTCAAATAAAAAAACTCTTCAAAAAAAATGTTTTTATAGTAAAAAAAATACATTTAAGATAAAAACATTATTTAATTATCTTTTAAATTTCAAAAATTTAATATTTTATATATTTTAAATATTTCAATTACTAATAACACTTTTTTATAATATTATCAAGCATTTAAAATTTCTAATCACACTTGTTTTATCTTATTTTTTAAATGTATTTTTTTTAATTCAAATCTTTTTCATTGCAGCGACGCTTAAGCATTCATCAATAATTTTGAACTCAAATAAAAGCCTCACTTAACCACAATTAGTAAATATACATGAATAATGGAATAATTCATGGGCAAATAAACTATATTCAACATTTATTTTTAACGACAAAAAACTAAATACTTAACTAACCACATGATTGGAATATATATATCCATATTGAAAATATATAGAATTATTTGAATTTATTTTTATATGCTTATTTCAAAAATATTAAAAGACTCTGGTGGGCGGTCCATACTTATCTCTTGAGTAGCATAATTATGTGTTAAATTAAAAAATAATGCAAATCGCAATGGGGAGTACTCCCTTTCTAAAAAAAAAAAAAAGCACTAAAAACAATGAAAAATACAATAAAATGAAAGAAAAAGGGATGAACAATAATCCGTTATGAATGGATGTTCTTTCATCACGTTCAACCTTTATTTTTCTTTATTAAACAGTATTGGAAAATGCAACATGCACGAAGGTCAAAATATTGCATGAGTTAAATAATTGTGAAGACGGTAACAATTATGGTTAATTATATTCAAATTGCAATAATTTTTAAGAACAAATAAATGAAACCCATGGGGTTTTAATTTCTTGCAGGTCCCATTCTATGGCTTGCAGCTCAACTAATAGGAGCAATCTCTGCATCATTCCACACTTCGTGTATTATCTGCATCAATAACACACATATTGGCACAACATCAACCTTCGAGGTCATATTTTGCAAAGCTTTATCATGGAAATAGTTGTCACATTTTCAATGATGTTTATTGCGTCAGCTGTGACAATTGATACTAAAGCTGTAAGAATCATCTCAAAGGATTATCGATGCTCTAGCTGATGACTTCTTACCATCAAGACAAATGAATTAATCAATTGAATCAATCAGTTATTGATACACACATATATTTAATGTCATAACATACTTATATTGTACTTATATAGTAGAATGGTGCATGACATTTTCTTCTCAAAGTTTTGTACTTTTAGAGGTATAATTGGATCTTTCCAGTTTTTATATGTTTCCATATGGACAGGTAGGAGAGCTAGCAGGCATAGCTGTTGGTTCTGCTGTTTGCATAACTTCAATCTTGGCTGGGTAAGCAACTTTAGAAATCTTCATTTATGAGTCAACTCTTCTGATTCCTTTTTCTTAGCTGGCTTTATATGCCCAATTAACCATATTATATGCTCAATTAACCTTAGATTAACGGACAGATTCATTTGTCCAAATTGTTTGTTGAAGATTCTCTTGAAATTGATTCTGCAAAAGATGACAAAAAAAGAAAAACCAGCATCTAGGCCACAACATATGTGCTTAAGCGCACATACAAAAAAAAAAAAAATGTAATGCTAATTACAAGTTGTCTAAGCATATATATATTTCAGACCAATATCAGGTGGATCAATGAACCCAGCAAGGACCATAGGACCAGCACTTGCTAGTGCTCAGTACAAGGGAATTTGGGTGTATGTGGTTGGACCTGTGATAGGAACCTTGACGGGGGCATGGTCTTACGATCTGATCCATATGACCGACAAGCCGGTGCATGCAATCTCTCCGCGTTCATTTTCATTCAAACTTCGTCAAATGAGAAGCCAAGATGGAGAGGTTCCAAACGAAGAACCCGTCAATGATCTTTGAATTATCGATCCATGTTCAATATTAAGGGCAAGGCAATCCTCACACCCTTTTTATCTCTACCCTGAAAACTAGATTGTGGACATATCTTAAATAAATGTTCTTGTATTATAACTTGAATACATATATAGTTGTATGTAATAGTGTATAGAAGTAGGATTGGAAAATAAAATTATGCTGAAGAAAGCAGAATAGCCTGCTACAGCTACTACAGCATGAAACCAAATTCCCTATATGCCAATGAACTACAACTTTTAGTTCCTGAAATCATTACGTTTTTGCTATAGTTGGCAATTAGAATATTTGTGCTGTGTAAAATATTAAAATTCATCTATTCGTACAATGTTTTACATGAAAATTGCATGTTATAATTTATGTCGACAAAAAAATATAAAATACAATTTTTTATTTTTTTAACTCATATATAGATATTGTTATGATTTCTTATTTTTTTGGCAAAGGTTCACTACCAGAAATTTGACTTTTATAAATGAAATTTTTTGTCAATAATAGTATGTTTTCCGTTGATAACAACATTACTAATAAAATTTACCAACGAAAATTTTTATAAGTGATCGATAAGTTGATAAAATGTTGCTAGGTTTCACTCATAGCAAATTGGATTGACATGATGCCATAGCAAATAGAGAAGTGGGGTTGAGCCTAGGTTTCAATTTTTGAATTATTGGAATCATTTCATTGATGGAGTTTTTGCTTAGGAAACAATAAAAAAAATAATTAGACAAAAAAAATAGCAAAATCTGATCTAATGATCTTGATTTTCAATTTTTTTCAATTATTTTCTTTGTTGATGATTTCTTATTTTTTTGGCAAAAGTTCACTACCAAAAATTGACTTTTATAAATGAAATTTTTTGTCAATAATAATATGTTTTTCGTTGATAACAACATTACTAATAAAATTTACCAACGAAAATTTTTATAAGTGATCGATAAGTTGATAAAATGTTGCTAGGTTTCACTCATAGCAAATTGGATTGACATGATGCCATAGCAAATAGAGAAGTGGGGTTGAGCCTAGGTTTCAATTTTTGAATTATTGGAATCATTTCATTGATGGAGTTTTTGCTTAGGAAACAATAAAAAAAAATAATTAGACAAAAAATAGCAGAATCTGATCCAATGATCTTGATTTTCAAAATTTTTCTATTATTTTCTTTGTTGATGATTTCTTTTTTTTTTTGGCAAAGGTTCACTACCAGAAATTTGACTTTTATAAATGAAATTTTTTGTCAATAATAATATTTTTTCCATTGATAACAACATTACTAATAAAATTTACCAACGAAAACTTTTTTAAGTGATAGATAAGTCGATAAAATGTTGCTAGGTTTCACAATTAGCAAATTGGATTGATAAGATGCCATTGCAAATATAGAAGTGGGTTTGAGCCTAGGTTTCAAATTTTGAATCATTGGAATAATTTCATTGAGAAAGTTTTTGCCTAGGAAACAATAAAATAATTGTTTAGACCAAAAAATTAGCAGAATCTAATCCAATTATCTTGATTTTCAATTTTTTTTTCTGTTATTTTCTTTGTTGATGATTTCTTATTTTTTTGGCAAAGGTTCACTACTAGAAAATTGACTTTTATCAATGAAATTTTTTGTCAATAATAGAATGTTTTTTGTTGATAACAACATTACTAATAAAATTACCAACGAAAATTTTTATAAGTGATAGATAAGTTGATAAAATGTTGCTAGGTTTCACTCATAGCAAATTGGATTGACATGATGCCATAGCAAATGGAGAAGTGGGGTTGAGCCTAGGTTTCAATTTTTGAATTATTGGAATCATTTCATTGATGGAGTTTTTGCTTAGGAAACAATAAAAAAAATAATTAGACAAAAAAAATAGCAGAATTTGATCTAATGATCTTGATTTTCAATTTTTTTCAATTATTTTCTTTGTTGATGATTTCTTATTTTTTTGGCAAAAGTTCACTACCAAAAATTGACTTTTATCAATGAAATTTTTTGTTAATAATAATATGTTTTTCATTGACAACAACATTACTAATAAAATTTTCCGATGAAAATTTTTGTAAGTGATAGATAAGTCGATAAAATGTTGCTAGGTTTCACAAATAGCAAATTGGATTGATAAGATGCCATTGCAAATATAGAAGTGGGTTTGAGCCTAGGTTTCAAATTTTGAATCATTGGAATAATTTCATTGAGAAAGTTTTTGCCTAGGAAACAATAAAATAAATGTTTAGACCAAAAAATTAGCAGAATCTAATCCAATTATCTTGATTTTCAATTTTTTTTCTGTTATTTTCTTTGTTGATGATTTCTTATTTTTTTGGCAAAGGTTCACTACTAGTAAATTGACTTTTATTAATGAAATTTTTTGTCAATAATAGAATGTTTTTTGTTGATAACAACATTACTAATAAAATTACTAACGAAAATTTTTATAAGTGATAGATAGGTCGATAAAATGTTGCTAGGTTTCACTCATAGCAAATTGGATTGACATGATGCCATAGCAAATGGAGAAGTGGGGTTGAGCCTAGGTTTCAATTTTTGAATTATTGGAATCATTTCATTGATGGAGTTTTTGCTTAGGAAACAATAAAAAAAATAATTAGACAAAAAAAATAGCAGAATCTGATCTAATGATCTTGATTTTCAATTTTTTTCAATTATTTTCTTTGTTGATGATTTCTTATTTTTTTGGCAAAAGTTCACTACCAAAAATTGACTTTTATCAATGAAATTTTTTGTCAATAATAATATGTTTTTCATTGACAACAACATTACTAATAAAATTTTCCGATGAAAATTTTTGTAAGTGATAGATAAGTCGATAAAATGTTGCTAGGTTTCACAATTAGCAAATTGGATTGATAAGATGCCATTGCAAATATAGAAGTGGGTTTGAGCCTAGGTTTCAAATTTTGAATCATTGGAATAATTTCATTGAGAAAGTTTTTGCCTAGGAAACAATAAAATAAATGTTTAGACCAAAAAATTAGCAGAATCTAATCCAATTATCTTGATTTTCAATTTTTTTTCTGTTATTTTCTTTGTTGATGATTTCTTATTTTTTTGGCAAAGGTTCACTACTAGAAAATTGACTTTTATCAATGAAATTTTTTGTCAATAATAGAATGTTTTTTGTTGATAACAACATTACTAATAAAATTACCAACGAAAATTTTTATAAGTGATAGATAAGTCGATAAAATGTTGCTAGGTTTCACTCATAGCAAATTGGATTGACATGATGCCATAGCAAATGGAGAAGTGGGGTTGAGCCTAGGTTTCAATTTTTGAATTATTGGAATCATTTCATTGATGGAGTTTTTGCTTAGGAAACAATAAAAAAAATAATTAGACAAAAAAATAGCAGAATCTGATCTAATGATCTTGATTTTCAATTTTTTTCTTTGTTGATGATTTCTTATTTTTTTGGCAAAAGTTCACTACCAAAAATTGACTTTTATCAATGAAATTTTTTGTTAATAATAATATGTTTTTCATTGACAACAACATTACTAATAAAATTTTCCGATGAAAATTTTTGTAAGTGATAGATAAGTCGATAAAATGTTGCTAGGTTTCACAATTAGCAAATTGGATTGATAAGATGCCATTGCAAATATAGAAGTGGGTTTGAGCCTAGGTTTCAAATTTTGAATCATTGGAATAATTTCATTGAGAAAGTTTTTGCCTAGGAAACAATAAAATAATTGTTTAGACCAAAAAATTAGCAGAATCTAATCCAATTATCTTGATTTTCAATTTTTTTTTCTGTTATTTTCTTTGTTGATGATTTCTTATTTTTTTGGCAAAGGTTCACTACTAGAAAATTGACTTTTATCAATGAAATTTTTTGTCAATAATAGAATGTTTTTTGTTGATAACAACATTACTAATAAAATTACCAACGAAAATTTTTATAAGTGATAGATAAGTCGATAAAATGTTGCTAGGTTTCACTCATAGCAAATTGGATTGACATGATGCCATAGCAAATGGAGAAGTGGGGTTGAGCCTAGGTTCAATTTTTGAATTATTGGAATCATTTCATTGATGGAGTTTTTGCTTAGGAAACAATAAAAAAAATAATTAGACAAAAAAAATAGCAGAATTTGATCTAATGATCTTGATTTTCAATTTTTTTCAATTATTTTCTTTGTTGATGATTTCTTATTTTTTTGGCAAAAGTTCACTACCAAAAATTGACTTTTATCAATGAAATTTTTTGTTAATAATAATATGTTTTTCATTGACAACAACATTACTAATAAAATTTTCCGATGAAAATTTTTGTAAGTGATAGATAAGTCGATAAAATGTTGCTAGGTTTCACAATTAGCAAATTGGATTGATAAGATGCCATTGCAAATATAGAAGTGGGTTTGAGCCTAGGTTTCAAATTTTGAATCATTGGAATAATTTCATTGAGAAAGTTTTTGCCTAGGAAACAATAAAATAAATGTTTAGACCAAAAAATTAGCAGAATCTAATCCAATTATCTTGATTTTCAATTTTTTTTCTGTTATTTTCTTTGTTGATGATTTCTTATTTTTTTGGCAAAGGTTCACTACTAGTAAATTGACTTTTATTAATGAAATTTTTTGTCAATAATAGAATGTTTTTTGTTGATAACAACATTACTAATAAAATTACCAACGAAAATTTTTATAAGTGATAGATAAGTCGATAAAATGTTGCTAGGTTTCACTCATAGCAAATTGGATTAACATGATGCCATTGCAAATAGAGAAGTGGAAAGTTGATAAAATGTTGCTAGGTTTGACTTGGTTTGACATGATGCCATTGCAAATAAAGAAGTGGGGTTGAGCCTAGGTTTCAATTTTTAAATCATTGGAATCATTTTAGCTTTGATGTTGAAACAAATTTTTACGTTCAAAAATTTATTTTAATTTAAACACAATATTAAAAATAAAAAATAGTTTTTCAGTTTAAAGGTTTAATTTTTCCACTCAAATAAAAAAACTCTTCAAAAAAAATGTTTTTATAGTAAAAAAAATACATTTAAGATAAAAACATTATTTAATTATCTTTTAAATTTCAAAAATTTAATATTATATATATTTTAAATATTTCAATTGCTAATAACACTTTTTTATAATATTATCAAGCATTTAAAATTTTTAATCACACTTTTTTTATCATATTTTTTAAATGTATTTTTTTTAATTCAAATCTTTTTCACTGCAGGAACGCTTAACCATTCATTAATAATTTTGAACTCAAATAAAAGCTTCACTTAACCACAATTAGTAAATATACATGAATAATGGAATAAACTATATTCAACAGTTATTTTTAACGCACAAAAAATTAAATACTCAACTAACCACATGATTGGAATATATATATCCATATTGAAAATATATAGAATTATTTGAATTTATTTTTATATGCTCATTTCAAAAATATTAAAAGACTCTGGTAGGCGGTCCATACTTATCTTTTGAGTAGCATAATTATGTGTTAAATTAAAAAATAATGCAAATCGCAATGGGGAGTACTCCCTTTCTAAAAAAACAAATGCACTAAAAACAATGAAAAATACAATAAAATGAAAGAAAAAGGGATGAACAATAATCCGTTATGAATGGATGTTCTTTCATCACGTTCAACCTTTATCTTTCTTTATTAAACAGTATTGGAAAATGCAACATGCACGAAGGTCAAAATATTGCATGAGTTAAATAATTGTGAAGACGGTAACAATTATGGTTAATTATATTCAAATTGCAATAATTTTTAAGAACAAATAAATGAAACCCATAGGGTTTTAATTTCTTGCAGGTCCCATTCTATGCTGCAGCTCAACTAATAGGAGCAATCTCTGCATCATTCACACTTCGTGTATTATTGCATCCAATAAAACATATTGGCACCACATCACCTTCGGGGTCAAATTTTCAAGCTTTAATCATGGAAATAGTTGTCACATTTTCAATGATGTTTATTGCGTCAGCTGTGACAATTGATACTAAAGCTGTAAGAATCATCTCAAAGGATTATCGATGCTCTAGTTCATGACTTCTTATCATCAAGACAAATGAATTAATGAATTGAATCAATCGGTTATTGATACACACATATATTTAATGTCATAACATACTTATATTGCACTTATATAGTAGAATGGTGCATGACATTTTCTTCTCAAAGTTTTGTCGTTTTTGAGGTATAATTGGACCTTTCCAGTTTTTATATGTTTCCTTATGGACAGGTAGGAGAGCTAGCAGGCATAGCTGTTGGTTCTGCTGTTTGCATAACTTCAATCTTGGCTGGGTAAGCAACTTTAGAAATCTTCATTTATGAGTCAACTCTTCCGATTCCTTTTTCTTAGCTGGCTTTATATTCCCAATTAACCATATTATATGCTCAATTAACCTTAGATTAATGGACAGATTCATTTGTCCAAATTGTTTCTTGAAGATTCTCTTGAAATTGATTCTCCAAAAGATGACAAAAAAAGAAAAACCAGCATCTAGGCCACAACATATGTGCTTAAGCGCACATACAAAAAAAAAATGTAATGCTAATTACAAGTTGTCTAAGCATATATATATTTCAGACCAATATCAGGTGGATCAATGAACCCAGCAAGGACCATAGGACCAACAGTTGCTAGTGCTCAGTACAAGGGAATTTGGGTGTATGTGGTTGGACCTGAGATAGGAAACTTAACGGGGGCATGGTCTTACGATCTGATCCGAATGACCGACAAGCCGGTGCATGCAATCTCTCCGCGTTCATTTTCATTCAAACTTCGTCGAATGAGAAGCCAAGATGGAGAGGTTCCAATCGAAGAACCTGTCAATGATCTTTGAATTATCGATCCATGTTCAATATCAAGGGCAAGGCAATCCTCACACCCTTTTTATCTCTACCCTGAAAACTAGATTATGGACATATCTTGAATAAATGTTCTTGTATTATAACTTTAATACATATATAGTTGTATGTAATAGTATATAGAAGTAGGATTGGAAAATAAAATTATGCTGAAGAAAGCAGAATAGCCTGCTACAGCTACTACAGCATGAAACCAAATTCCCTGTATGCCAATGAACTACAACTTTTAGTTTTTGAAATCATTACGTTTTTGCTATAGTTGGCAATTAGAATATTTATGCTGCGTAAAATATTAAAATTTATGTATTCGTACAATGTTTTACATGAAAATTGCATGTCATAATTTGTGTCGATAAAAGAATATAAAATACAATTTTTTATTTTTTTAACCCATATATAGATATTGTTACAATTTTAAGCCATGTCATCTTTATATCTTATTTTCGTATTGTATTCGTATCATATCACTGTGTCGTGTTTTAGATTAATAGGTCTAATTTTTGCTTAGGAAACAAAGAAAATAAATAATTAGACAAAAAAAAAATTAGCAAAATCTGATCCGATGATCTTAATTTTCAATTTTTTTCAATTATTTTCTTTGTTGATGATTTCTTATTTTTTTAGCAAAGGTTCACTACCAGAAAATTGACTTTTATCAATGAAATTTTTTGTCAATAATAATATGTTTTTCATTGATAACAACGTTACTAATTAAATTTACCGATGAAAACTTTTATAAGTGATTGATTAGTTGATAAAATGTTGCTAGGTTTCACTCATAGCAAATTGGATTGACATGATGCCATTGCAAATATAGAAATGGGGTTGAGCTTAGGTTTCAATTTTTGAATCATTGTAATCATTTCATTGATAAAGGTTTTGCTTAGGAAACAATAAAAATAAATAATTAGACCCAAAAAATTAGCAGAATCTGATCCAATGTTCTTGATTTTTAATTTTTTTATTATTTTCTTTGTTGATGATTTCTTATTATTTTGGCAAAGGTTCACTACTAGAAAAATGACTTTTATAAAAGAAATTTTTTGTCAATAATAATATGTTTTTCGGTGATAACAACATTACTAATAAAATTTACCGATGAAAATTTTTATAAGTGATAGATAAGTTGATAAAATGTTGCTAGGTTTCACTCATAGCAAATTGGATTGACATCGCAAGTAGAGAAGTGGGGTTGAGCCTAGGTTTCAATTTTTGAATCATTGGAATCATTTCATTGATAAAGTTTTTGCTTAGGAAACAATAAAAATAAATAATTAGACAAAAAACTTAGTAGAATCTGATCTAATGATCTTGATTTTCAACTTTTTTTGTTATTTTCTTTGTTGAGGATTTCTTATTTTTTTGGCAAGGGTTCACTGCCAGAAAATTGACTTTTATGAATGAAATTTTTTTGTCAATAATAACATGTTTTCCATTGATAACAACGTTACTAATAAAATTTACCAACAAAAATTTTTATAAATGATAGACACGTTGATAAAATGTTACTAGGTTTCACTCATTGCAAATTGGATTGACATGATGCCATTGCAAATAAAGAAGTTTCACTCATAGCAAATTAGATTGACATGATGCCATTTCAAATAGAGAAGTGGAAAGTTGATAAAATGTTGTTAGGTTTGACTTGGTTTGACATGATGCCATTGCAAATAGAGAAGTGGGGTTGAGCCTAGGTTTCAACATTTGAATCATTGGAATCATTTTAGCTTCGATGTTGAAATAAATTTTTATGTCCAAAAATTTATTTTAATTTAAACACAATATTAAAAATAAAAAATAGTTTTTCAGTTTAATGATTTAATTTTTCAACTCAATAAAAAAACTCTTTAAAAAAAATGTTTTTATACTAAAAAAATACATTTAAGATAAAAACATTATTTTATTACCTTTAAAATTTCAAAATTTTAATATTATATATATTTTAAATATTTCAATTACTAATAACACTTTTTTATAATATTATCAAACATTTAAAATTTCTAATCACACTTTTTTTATCATATTTTTTAAATGTATTTTTTTTAATTCAAATCTTTTTCTCTGCAGGAGCAGTGCTTAACTAAAATAATGCAGATCATAAGGGTGAGTACTCCCTTTCTAAAAAAAAACAAAATGCAATAAAAAAATGAAAAATACAATAAAATGAAAGAAAAATGGATGAACAATAATCCGTTGTGAATGGATGTTCTTTCATCACTTTCAACCTTTATTTTTCCTTATTAAACAGTATTGTAAAATGCAACATGCATGAAAGTCAAAATATTGTATGAGTTAAATAATTGTGAAGCCAGTAACAATTATGGTTAATTATATTCAAATTGCAATAATTTTTAAGAACAAATAGATGAAACCCATGGGGTTTTAATTTCTTGCAGGTCCCATTCTATGCTGCAGCTCAACTAATACGAGCAGTCTCTGCATCATTCACACTTCGTGTATTATTGCATCCAATAAAACATGTTGGCACCACATCGCCTTCGGGGTCAAATTTTCAAGCTTTAATCATGGAAATAGTTGTCACGTTTTCAATGATGTTTATCGCGTCGGCTGTGACAATTGATACTAAAGCTGTAAGAATTATCTCAAATGATTATCGATGGTCTAACTCATGACTTGTTATCATTGAGACAAATGAATAAATCAATTGAATCAATCAGTTATTGATACACAGATAGATTTAATGTCACAACACTTATATTGTACATTCGACACAAAGTTTTGTCGTTTTTGAGGTATAATTGGATCTTTCCAGTTTTTATTTGTTTCCATATTGACAGGTAGGAGAGCTAGCAGGCATAGCTGTTGGTTCTGCTGTTTGCATAACTTCAATCTTGGCTGGGTAAGCAACTTTAGAAATCTTCATTTATGAGTCAACTCTTCCAATTCCTTTTTCTTAGCTGGCCTTATATGCCCAATTAACCTTACATTAATGGACAGATTCATTCGTCCAAATTGTTTCTTGAAGATTCTCTTGAAATTGATTCTTCAAAAGATGACAAAAAAAGAAAAACCAGCATCTAGGCCATAACATATCTGCATAAGCACACATACAAAAAAAAAATTGTAATGCTAATTACAAGTTGTCTAAGCATATATATATATATATATATATTTCAGACCAATATCAGGTGGATCAATGAACCCAGCAAGGACCATAGGACCAGCACTTGCTAGTGCTCAGTACACTGGAATTTGGGTGTATGTGGTTGGACCTGTGATAGGAACCTTGACGGGGGCATGGTCTTACAATCTGATACGAATGACAGACAAGCCGGTGCATGCAATCTCTCCGTGTTCATTTTCATTCAAACTTCGTCGAATGAGAAGCCAAGTTGGAGAGGTTCCAAACGAAGAACCTGTCAATGATCTTTGAATTATCGATCCATGTTCAATATCAAGGGCAAGGCAATCCTCACAGATTTTTTTGATTTTTCTCTCTCTCTCTCTCTCTCTCTTTTGATTTTTTTTTTGAAAACAAGTAAAATCAAATTAAATCAAATTAAAATTGAAAATTTTCCTATTGGGCTCGAAGCTTCGTTTTTTGTCTTAGAAAAATTTCGAACAAAATGGGTGTCTACAGTTGCCCATCTTTACACAGTTTCTTTGAAATAGGAATTGCACAAAGATAAAAGACATCCATTTTGTTTGGGTCTTAAAGCTGAAGTCAAAATAAAAATATGAAAACGATTGAATTGAGTCCAAGTTGAGACTTATCGAAGAATAACAAAATAAGAAAATGATCGAGACTGAACCGCGAAACAAGAAATTAAAATGATTTGGATTGAGCTAAGATCAGAACGGGTGACTAAGATTGAAACACAAGTCAAAAAATAAAATGATCTAATCCGAGCTGAGATCAAAACTGAGTGACCGGGATTGAACCGTAGGTCTTAAAATTAAAATGATTTAGACTGAGCTGAGATCGAAATCAATGACTAGGACTGAATTGATTTGGACTGAGCCGAGATCAAAATGAGTCACTGGGATTTAACCGCATGTTCAAAAATTAAAATGATCTGGACTGAGCAGAGATCGAAACGAGTGACTGAGATTGAACAACAAGTCAAAAAAATAAAATGATCTGGATCGTGCTAAGATCGAAATGAGTGATCGGGATTGAACTGTGAGTTTAAAAAATAAAATGATCTGGACTAGACCAAGATCGAAACGAGTGATCAAAATTGAATCACAAGTAAAAAAAAAATGATTTGGACTGAGCTGAGATCGAAACTAAGTGACTGAGATTGAACCGTGAATTCAAAAAATAAAATGATCTGGACTGAGCCAAGATTGAAAACGAGTGACTTGGATTGAATCGTGAGTTAGAAAAATAAAATTAAAAATTTTAGCTTGAAATCCAAAGATTCAAAATTTGAAAATTTAAAGATTTGTAAGGTTTCATGATAGAAGTTCAAAGATCCCAATGTTCCAAGTTTCACAAAAACAAAAAAATTAAAAAGATTCAAGATTTGCAAAGGTTTTTATATTCGCAAGTGTGATAATATATAGATCCATGGACCTACTATTAGATATAAAATAAAGGAGTCGCTACTAATCTTTTT